TCCTGTCCATTTAATGATGCCCACCAGTCCAGTCCAGCCCGAGCACAAGCACACTCACGTATGCTAAAAGCTGAAGAAGGCTGAGCAGTGCAGACAGGTATGATGTTAAAGGTGGGGTAAGTGATTTCTAGTAGCCAATGTTGATATTTCAAATCACCAAAACAAACACTTTTTTTTCATCTGAATCTTCAGGGTTTATTTGAGCAAGGCATCCTTAAATCAGGCGCAATCAAACACATTTTTTGTATTAACAGTATAAATTACTTCCGTCCAGCAGATGATAGTGTCCCAATATGTAAAAAAAATGTATAATTGTAATTGGATAGTTGTAAATAAAACAGATTACTGAAGTACATTTTACAAGAAAATACTATTTCAGTTTTTCTACTTTAAAATCGCACATTAATTCAGTGTTACCTACCATTTCTTGTTTTTAAAATTTACTTTCAATTTCTGAATGAAAATGATTTCTACACAATTTTTTTTCATTATATAACCCTGATTTAGTGGGCTTTTTCTCTTGCTTGTCTGCCATCTAGATTGTAGGCAACACTTCACAGCAATGGATACATGCAAGAAGGTTGAAGGCGGTGTGGTTTTCACATGGATATAGAGCCTTAAATTGCTGTCTAGGTAAGTGTATATTTGAGGATCCCCAATTTGTTGGCCATTTTTTGTCAGTGAATTTGAGATCAGCTTAAACTCCTAATTATTTTCAGCAGCGAGTCTGCCAGAAGCTACATGAGGATGGTTAAATGCAGCTTGTAGCCGATCTGTGCGAAGCCTGACCCAGACCAAGGCTAAGTTTGTTGTTGACTAAAGTCAGTCTGCTCTGAACAGGGGTGGACTGTTGCTTTGCCAAAGGCTGAGGGTTTTTTAGCCAAAGGCAATGACCATCCTTTGCCCTGGGCAATGATATGAGCGATGCAGCGAGCGAGGGCTGAAAACATAGCTGCTTCTACAGAGCGGATCTCCTGCCATCACTGCTTACGAGGCATTGCTTTTTTTCAAGAGAAAATGACATCTAACTGTACTTTTTGACATATTCATGCAATAATTATTATATTAAGAGTTGCATGCCAATGAAACTGAAATCAGGAAAAAAGTAGCGTGTTATTACCATGCTTTTTGGGCACTTTATGAATAAGATTTTCCTATTCCATTTTTTTTCTTGTCTTCTATATATATATATATATATATACATGGAAGCATGAGTTAAAATCCAAAATAAAAGTTTTTGTTTACATAATATATGTTTGTGTACTTTGTATATTTATTATTTATATATAAATACACACACATGCATGTGTTTATTTAAGAAAATATGTTATGTTTATATATTAAGTATATTTATATATAATATAAATTATATGAATATAAATATACATGTAAATATTTTCAAAATATATACTATATGTGT